ACCCTAACACTAAATTCGGCTGCAATTAAGAGACAACGGAGCCGCGGGACAGCCTATCGAATTTTCCCTTTTCTCCCAATTAATGGTGCATACTGTTTCTGTGATCGGATTGGATTTTTTCCACCAATGCAGTCGAGTATTATTGAATTGCATCGGAAATAGCGTGAGGATTTAATGTTATCGACTTTCAGTTTCCCGTCCCTGGTGATGTTTTTACAGGCATGGGGGATTTGCTAATGCTGTCAATGATGTCGTAAAACCTTCTTTCAATCCCCCAAAAAAAATATTTTTTGATGTTTTTTTCGCGAAAGGTTAATTTTTTTAGCTTTCCTCATATAAATAAATCACACTTACTAACACTCAGAAATGGTTGAACATATCAAAATTTTTCTCTCAGTAGAAGCAGCATAAAAGAAGCTTAAGTAAAGGATTGTACAATAAAAATATGGGATTCTTACTTAAAATAACAAACTTAGTGTCATTTCCCAATTAGCCGACAAAGTTATGTTAAATCTATTACCACCACGGGGATTCCTAGCTAAAATTAACTTGGGGTTTGTATAAGGCCATTTCTTGCTAAAGTTAATTGCTAATTAAATGTGTGGACTATACAGGGTGTTTTAGATGGGCCGACTGAATTTCTCTTGGACCCATGACGCTATCAACAAAACAAAAAATACGTGTTTAATATTTTTAGTCTAGTTTCGACTTTTTACCGTTTTTTGAAAAACGTTATACATGGTACCTCAGGCCTAGTTCAACTTTAAATATGAAGTACGACCGTATACAACCTGACAAATTATTTTAAAGGATTTTTTACCCTGAAAACAATGGATTTTCAATTGGTCAAAAAATGACGTTATAAAAAAAATTAAAAAACACTCATTTGAGTGCTATTTATTAATCACATTTCATGATCGAACTCCCGCCTTGCGTAAAGATGCAAAGATTTGCTCGTTTTAACCACTCTTCACCTATGCTCAGAGCGATAGAGTCAGGGGAAATGGATTGACAAGCATTTTCTATTCTTTACCGCAGTTCTTCAACTGAGCTTGCTGGGGTTACGATTGGCGTAGACACTGTTTTTTAAATGGCCCCATAGAAAATAGTCAAGTGGAGTTAAATCGGTTGACCGAAAAGGCCAACAGATCGAGCCATATTGTCCTATCCATTTTTTCCGGAAGTGACGATTCAAATAACGTCTCTCCTGCAAAAAATTGTGTGCGGGGTATCCATCAACCTAGAGAATCATTCTTTGTTTGTTGCAGAAGAACATCTCAAATAGTGTTTGTAAAACCTCCCTCAAAAAATTGTAGAATAGCACCATTTAAATTATTTTCGTAGGAATAAGGCCCAATTAATTTATATCCGAGAAGTCCACAGCAAACGTTAATACTGATGTTAATAAGAGTACGAAATTCTTGGATATTCCTCTGCACACGTTCAAAAATCCCAACGTTTCAAATGTAAAAAAAGATGAGATGAGAATAGGATGTATGGAAAAACGTTTTATTCAGCCTTTCAAATCGACATTTATGCAAGGAACGTAAGATGTCATAATCGAGTCCCGAAGTCCTTGGACAAGATGAGAGCGATATCACTTAAAATTGTATTCCGGAGTACATCTTTAATTTTATTTTTTTGAAAAACCCAAAACCCTTCCAACATTTCGGAAAGGGGAATTAGGATTTTCGCGCAAATACAATCAATTCAGCTGCTTGTCGAAATTACGTTTTTTGTTTACTCTGGGGCGATCAGGAAATTTCTGGGAGAACAATGACAGAATATAAATAATAAAGGCAATGTTTACTTCACTGAAGAAGCCAATTATTGGAATCATTTACTTGATTGTTTGTGGGGGTTTTTTCAAAGAAGATATGGTATATAGCCCAAACAGTCATAACGTAGTACAACAATAAGCTTTTCATTAGTACTAACAACACACAGACAATATATTTATCTCATAAAGGGGACATTTTCTCTCATTTCTTTATGAATAAATTGGGTATAAACTATTCCTTCTTACTATTTTGACGATGTTTGATGACTACCTGATTTTATTTAAACCTCTCATGATATTGTGAGCTTTTCTTTAAGATTTTGTATATCCTATTATTTTTATAAGAACGGCTTATCTTTTACCGAATTAGTGATACTTTCTACTTTCTAATACAACGTTTTGTAAATGATCTCTTTCTCAATGTACTACTACTCCATAGGGTGAAAATTTTACATTTACAGTTACTAAACCAAGCGAATTTACCCTGACCACTGAGTTTATGAACGAATCAATTACTATTTTATCTGGGCAACATGATTGATGTTCTATCTATGTGGAATTGAATGGGCATATGCTCGTTTTACAACGGTTAGGACGCATTTAGTCAGATGGATTTGCACCCGAGTTTTCAGCGCAACCTGTAGTTTATTACATGGGCATTGGCACATAATCTTCTTGCAATCTTCAATAGTACATCTTTTTCGATTAAATGCAAAATAATAGTAACTAATTATTTAAAAGAAAATTACAAAAAAAATGAAAATAATAACATAAGCACCCGGGAGAAACATACATTTTGTTTGGTTTTATTTGGCCCTAATGTCCAATGAAAATTGTATATTTTTATTTCAAGATCATATTTTCCTTTTTCTCACTCTAGTAAGACCCAATAGCGTTAAAAGTTGAAAAAAAATTATATCGTTCTAATAGAAAAACCAAGGTTTTATTTCTGTTTAAAAGATAATAGAAGTTCATAAAACTAAACTTAAAATCAACTATACGAAAAATAGTTAACCACGTGTCTTTCCCCTATTCCAAATATCTTCAGTCAAAAATGAAAATAATGCATCAGAGCGACATAGTCACCAGTGCAGTGAAATATCATTCGTGATTAAATCTACACAACTGGAAGGGCCTGTTATTTTGTACGAGAACGCTAACCCCATCACGTGTCATTAATGATCGGAAAAATCGCACCAGACAATATAAAATTCCTTAGAGCCTGTCATTATCAGATTTTCGCATTATATACGGACAATTAATTAAGGTTTTTAGTTGAGATAAAAAAGTCAATGGCATGAGCGGGATTCGAACCCACGATCGAGGTCACGATAGCTCAGGTGGTAGAACAGCGGCGTATCAAGCCGAAGATCGTGGGTTCGAATCCCGCTCGTGCCATTGACTTTTTTATCTCAACTAAAAACCTTAATTAATTGTAGCATATTAATTGGTCAAGCGGACAACGAAATTAGTGAATTTAATGATTATATACGGAGTATATACAGCATATACAGACGAAATTGCACAACAGTTGGCATGACAATGATATTTTTAACATGTACACTAGATTGAAAAAAGAGTCGTTTGTATTAACATTATTTTTTGTTAATAAATGTTAATTACTATTGTAAATAAATATTTTATTTTTTGTATCATAATAAATAATGTGTGCGTTCACTAATACCATATACGTACCATATACTATTGCTTTCAGAACATGTTCCAAAATAAACTAAATTTGTTTTTGAAGGAATATCATCACAACTAAAATCTGTTTTTCTAATTTTTCTAACGAGAACTTTAACAAAAAAAGACCGGTGGTGTTTCAGGGAAGTGCACACGCTTTGCTTGTGGTGGAACTATGATGGTGTTTTGCACTTTGAACTTGTTACATGACGTGAGGCTAAGGTTTTTACTCGAAAGCTCGGTATGGAGTTTTAAAAGCATTCCGCCTTGCTTTGATCAACCAGGAGAAAACAGTGTTGAAACAATACGCTGCTGTGCGTCGTTCGCGTTTGTCAGACACAATTTTCAGAAATAAGTGATGTTCTTGATGAGGAGGACAGATAATTACAATAATGTTATATTAAGAAGAAAGTTTTTTGTTTTAAAAATTAAAATGGTGATGTTTACTGTATAAAAAGTTCAATCACTGCATAAAAAGGGCATATAGTGTATAAAGTAAGTTATGCACGTTTTTTGAATTGAAATATTAATAATTTTTTTAATATTAATAAGAAAACATAACATTACCCATAAAACTTTTATTAAGAATCTTTTCAACAAATTCTTTTTCTTTTAATTACAATTTTCCATCTGATGCTTTGTCAAGTACAATCATCGTTTACTATAGTATAACACATGGTTTTCATCATAAATCAGATTGTATTATAAATTTATGGTGTTCCTTTTACCTTTTAAAAGTATTTTGAACATAAGCCAATTTAAATTTTCCTCGACTTAAATTAACACAGCCATCTTTTACGTTTTTTGGCGGTAGGTGACTGTTTGTTGGTACTCTGTCTTGATTTCTTCGAAGATGGTTTTATTTTCTTGTTTGCTTCGATGTTTGTTGACCTGTCAACGACGACAACCTTCCCTCTGTATTTTGTAGGGGTCAATCGTTTATATTTCAACCAGCGTTCGAAACCGGCTTTTGCCTCCGGGTCCTGTAACTTTTCATGTTGACCAGTTTTGGACTTCACTTTGGACTTTTTTGTCTTGCGTTCCATCCCACGGGCTTCGACAACTGTTCTGACAGAAATAAACTGATGGCTTCAATTTGGAATGTTTTTTTATTTTTGATATTACTCCGAATAGAAATACTAGAAATACAAAAATTTAGATTTAACCTTTAAAACATATGGCAGCTCAAACTAACTAGCAAGTAATTGAACTTTTTTCTGAAATTTTTGTTGCACAATATATACACATCAAGGCTAGTTGGGTACCTTTATTTGTAACTTTTTAATCAAATAAAACTTCACGACATAAAGAATATAGTATAATTGATAGCATTTAAACTCTGAACTTTAATCTTTCCAAAACCCAAGATTTATTAGTATATATAATCTTTCTACATCTATCATACGTATACGTTTGGTGCGAGGACTATTTTCATTTGTGTGACCCATTTTGTCCCACATAGAAAATTCATCTTGAAAAACTAAAAAAAAAGTTTCACGTTCCCAAATGGATAAAAACATTGTATCTGTTGCAGTTATCGTACGCCGACACGCATCCGATGTTCACCTCCGACCACTTTCCTAACTTTTATCGGGTAGTACCGAGTGAAAACGCCTTCAACGCCCCACGGCTCAAATTAATGCAGCACTTCAATTGGACGAGAGTCGGCACCATTTATCAGAACGAACCACGCTACTCACTCGTAAGTATCATAGCTTGTTTTTTTCACTCTCCTGTATGCTGTATAATGCTGTTAACATAATAAGCTTCTAGCATAAACGTATCTGATCTGACAATAAACAAGAACAAATCAGTGGCGGTCAAATTTACTCCTAGATGTACCAGCATTGGAACATGAAGCTCTTATCTGAAAAAAAATGTTGTCTATCCTTACCTTGGTTAAATGACTTGAAATAAAAAACTAAACTGTAAATTTGCGCTTCTGCACGAAAAACAAAGTTGATTAGAACATAAACGTGCATATCTGCGTTTATTTTTGGGAGTTCATTGTTTCATTCTTTACTTTGAATTTACGTACAAAAATGCATTAGCATCAACTAAGAATGAATATTTAAAGAAAATAAACATTGAAGGATAACAAATTATAATCCTTTTTTAAAAAAGGATTGAACACCACACTCACTCCATCATTCATCATTTCTAACAAATTACAGGTTTATAACAATAAAGATTACATTGAGAAATTTCTGGCCAAAATAAATTAATATTTCAACAAAAGCACACAATATTTTGATTATTAATAATTGGGTCAATTTAAGAGAAATTTTTAGTATTAATTAAGATTTTTAGCTGAGATAAAAAAGTCAGTGGCACGAGCGGGATTCGAACCCACGATCTTCGGCTTGATACGCCGCTGCTCTACCACCTGACCTATCGTGACCTCGATCCACTCGGACACCAATTTCTTATCTCAACCGCACCTTTTGAATTTTCCCTCCTTTTTGCAATTTTTCAATCGTGGATCGAGGTGACGATAGCTCAAGTGGTAGAGCAGCGGCGTATCAAGCCGAAGATCGTGCGTTCGAATCCCGCTCGTGCCATTGACTTTTTTATCTCAGCTAAAAACCTTAATTGTAATATATTAATTGGTCAAGCGGACCATGAAATTAGTCAATTTAGAAATTTTTAGTTTTTTATTAATTATAATTCAATTTTTGTACTTGTTGTTCAGCCATTCTCAAATTTCAATACGTTATATAAAATTTACAATATCTTCAAACACAATAAACAAACTCTCGGCAGTAAAGATGGCTAATTTATTTAAATTCATTAAACACTCTTGAATTACAAAGGTGCGTTGAGTAGAAAAATCTGTATCTCATCGACTCTCCTCTCTCTCACAATCTCTTCTCTCTTTCACGCTCTCTCTCTCTTTCTCTCTTCTCTTTCCTCTCCCTCTCTTATTCCACACTCTCTCTCACACTCTCTTTGTCCCTCTATATCTATCCATTTATCTATCTTACTCTCCCTCCTCTTTCTCTGCCACAATTTCTTTTCCCACTCCCTCTCACAATTTCTCAAACTCTTCCACAATAGGCTCCTCTCTCCCTCACTTTCTCTATCGCTCCTTCGACAATAAGTTTCAAAACAAATATTTGCAATTACTATAATGCAATCAAAGTAAAATCGTGTTCAGCAGTGCTGAATGGTAATTGAAATTCAAATTATAATTTAAATGAAATGGATAGAAGAGATTAAATGTCAATATTAGTCAGCAAAGGTACTTCAATCTGTAGATATGATTTATAAAAAAAGTATTGTTACTCGGATCATGTTTGGTCATTGCGCCACAGTGTCGTTTATGGATAAGGAAATATACGAGAAGAGGGTGCAGAAATGCCGATTGAATTTGAAATTCGACAAATAAACCGCAAAAGGCTCCTAACGATTTCCTCGCCGCGGGACATTGTTATCAAGCGACTCTGGTTAACAAGAGCAAACAGAACAACCCCTTGATTAGAGGTTATGGGGTAGCGGGAAGACGAAGAGGGACGAGACCGAGAGTGGAGTTTAGATTCCCGTTTATACATCTGGATTCATTAACGAAACACAACACGTTTGGCGAGAAGTTGGACTGGAGAGATCAGAACGTCGGCTAGTTAATCCATGAAATACCCTCCCTTTCGAAACGCACTCAATCGATAATTGTTGATAATTTACAGTGAACATAGACATACTAGCAGACACACCCAGCTTCTCTCGAGTAGTATGAAAAGTTGAACAATTAATTGCAAATTTATTATACGGACGGAAACTTTATTTATTTACATTCTATTTTATTTTTACATGCTTCAGAATGTACCACATTTTTTGTTTATCACCGTCTGATATCAAAATAAATTGATTATCCTTACTTCCGGTTCATGATAAACCGACAAATAATTTTCCGGACGAGAAACACTCTTTCCGCAAATCTAACCCTAACATATCCGTGTGATAAACCTATAATTAAATTGAAAGAAAGTTTAATAGGTAATTGTAATCTATTAAATGTATTAAATATTCGCCTGTCCAGCTGGAAGTCCCATGGACATAAGTATAATGACTTGGCCTTCAACGGGATATAACTTCCCAACTGAATGGTAACATGCCCTCGTATTTTAAAAATTGGCATAAAATTACCTTCAGGTAATAAAGGTCGGGCATAACTCAGAAATGGTCGATCCTATCAAAATTTTCCTCTCAGTAAAAGTGGCATCAAATTCTACAATAAAAACATGAGATTCATATTTAAAATAACAAAGTTAGTGTCATTTCCAAGCTAGATGAGAAAGTCATGTTAAAACTGTTACCTCCACGCGATTCCTAGCCAAAATTAACTTGGAGTTTGTATAAGATCATTTTTTGCTAAATTTAATCGCTCCCGAATTAAATGGGTAGCTATAGAGGTTTATACACCCTGTATATACACATAAACCCGAAAAAATGGGTTATAGTACAACCCAAATAGGGTAAAAAGCGCCCAATCTAACTATTCTATCTCAATCCGGTCAGAAGTTATGAATTTTTACGTGTTTTTTTTTCGAAAAACCCCGACCAAGCCATAAATTGATCTATAGCATCCGTTCCAATTTTTAACCACATTTTTGAATTCTGCATTAAATTTCCTAAAATAATGAATCATTTTTAATCTTATCAAACGCCGATGTATGTTTATTAATTCAACCCGAAAAGAAAAATTTAAAAAAAGGGAATCTTGATAAATTCCTAAAAATAACTTCTTTTTCAACAAATATATTTTTAGGGGTGCCAAACATCATAAAAACTTCTTCGTTTAATAAGCTTTCTTATCTTCTTCTTCGTTCTTCGTACTCGAGGTCAAAAAAATCAACCCTTCATCGATAAAATACCTGGAACGTTAAAAAAATGTGGTTCAAACGTATAAATTTAACGCATATCACGAAATTTGATTTTGATTTTGATAATTTATTGCATCTTTTCTTTTTTTAGTATTTTATTTCTTTATTTTTTAATTAAGAAAGAGATTAACACTTAATAATATTATATATATTAAATTCATTCCTTTTTTGAATACTGCATAATCTGCTTTTTACAAATTTGGAAATGGCAGAGTTCACTCCACTTCTGTATGAGTTAAATTTAACATTTGGACCATTTTTTATAAATATAGTTCTTTCATTCTCCACAAAAATCGAATTGTTGTACGGTTTAATCTAACCCCCCCAATTTTTAATTTCTTAGACAAAATATTAATTATTTTGGTACGTTGTAGTTAGAGATCTGTATTTCTGTTCTCCGTAGTTTCTTACGCCAAGCTCAATTCTCTCAAAACCTACGGTTGTAAATGGTTGAAATTCCTTTTTTTCAAACTGTAAAAAATTGTATAGTTTAGTGCCTCTCACTATTAGCCCTTATTCATCTTACAAACCTATACATCCACTTAAATGAAACACAATATAAGGGAATTCCGGAAAAACAAAGACGAAGTAGATTGAAGTAGATTATTAGAGTTAAAGAACTCGAGAAAAATGACCTGGCAAATCCAAAGAGAAAATCAAATGACCAATTAGAACGTACCAATGTCATTAACCACAATTAATGTCGTTGTTAGGTTGTATTGGGCACCTTAGTCCTCAGCAACTTTTGTGGTCAAAACCGTCTGCTAGGAAATTTCCCTCATGGCCTGTATTAATTCACTCAACCACCCGAGTCCGGGAATGGATTTTTATTTCTTCAATCAAAATAAAATGGTTTCGCATATTGCCCTTCGAGCTGCAAGCAATCTTCCTCAAACATTCAATATTTGGGGGGTTGATCTTTCAATCTGTTATTTTTTTTTTTTTTAAGCATATTTGTAAACACTTGTGGGGTTTTGATACGTTCAAAGGGTGTTTATACACTGGTATAAATAAACAGACCAGAATGATCCGACTATCAAACTATATTTAAACAATTGTAAAGAAGCATTAGTCGATACTTGATTAGTTAAGATATAATTATTTTTGTACTATTTGGGTCAATAGTATCATTTAATAAACGTTTATTTATTTACGTACATCTTGCTTATTTGTCACAAATAATACCAAGACGTTCAATGTCTGAATGAGAAACGAGAATACATTTTTTTCCTCCTCTACTTTCTTTACTTTCTAACGTTTAGCAGTCACTTACCATTCCTCAGGCCAAAAGGAGAAATGTGAAATCGCGCAACATCGAAAACAGTTGCGGAGAGTACATTTGAGAAGAAGATGAAAAAGTTGGAAATTGAATTACACCTTTTCGAAAAGAAAGCGGCTCCGAAGAATTGAAATACTTCCATTTTCGTATTCCTCTTTACTCGTTTGCATACTTTAAATACGATTTCAACGACGGATAAAAGCATTTTTGCCGTTTTCATTATTGAATTGCCAGAATCAAATGTGTATTCGATGTTCGATTTATAATGGAAAGAATCCATATCATTTAATGAAGACAAGACAAGAAAAAACACAAATGAATTTATTTGTTATACATTAATAATTTATTCTGAAAAAAAGTTTAACTTGTGCTTGAGAGCAGGAGTCGTAAGCTCCCAAGTAGTTTTTTATACATTACAAAACACAGATTTATACAAATAATAGGTAGCAATATTCATTAATTTATTTGACTATTGATTTGTATGTAATTTTTGAAATAATTATATTATTAGTGTATTACTTTTAAAAAATTTCTCTTCTTTAA